TGCGATTTCGCGAAGCATGGGAGGCTGCGTCTCAACGTTCGGCCTTGGCTCCCGACGCCCACGACGCCATCGTGATTGACGACTTCAACATAGCGGCCGCACCTCCGAAGAACTTGCTCCGCCCTGCGCCCGACCCCACCGCCGAGCGCCACCACTACCAACCCGTCTACTGGAAGAACCTCATTCTCGCAGATGCTGGAGATCACGACCAAGGCCACCGCCCACCGATGTGCCGCCGACGTGACAGAGGCGGCCATCGGCCGCTGCTTCGTCTCGCTCAACGCCTCTAACATCCCTCGCATCGAGGCCCTTCTCGTCGCCGATGGCCGTCCTCTTGACCGAGCAGGAGAGCCCACTCGCGACCGCAAGCCTCCACATCTTCGCTTGCGCCGTCGACGGCAGCGGCCTGCTGACGAGCTGGGCGTCCCGGCTTTCCTCTTCGAGTCCAAGCGCTACAAGTTTCACTTCCAGCGTCTCATCGAGTTGGCCGGCTTCTCGGACACCACCCCTATCTCGAAGTGGCGGCCAATGAAGCACATAATGGAGTTGGCGGCGCGCAAGACTCGCGACGCCCACTCCTCCATCGCCGTCTCCGAGCTCCTCTCCGACGAACCCAGGATTCTCGCCGAAGCTCGCGCACTCGCTTCGCGCAGCATAGCCCTTGCCATCTGGTTCCAGGATGTCACGCTTGCCCGACTCCTCCCCGCCGACCCCTCCGCTGGTGCAGCCCACCTCGTCATCCACAACAACCGGGTCAGCCTCGTGGATCGCGCCGCCTTCGAGAGTGAGCACTCTGCCATGCAGGTCCAGATCGCCGGCCGGCGTCGTCTTGCCGCCGCTGCTCGCTCGCGGGCCGCCTTTGCTTCGCAACAGCAAGCCCTTTGTGAACCATGGCGTCGTCGTGCCCGACGTATCGGACAGCGCAGCGAGGTCTGGGGGCCGTTCACTAAACGCCTGATCTTCGCTGGCACCCGCATCTCCGACAGCTGCGGCCAGCGCAGCGTGTCCGACCCGATGGGCGTGCAAGGCGCCATCCAGGCTCACTGGGCCAACGTCTTCGCCGCCAGACCAGTGTACCACCAGAACATGCTCCACTGCCTGGACTCGGTCTTCCCTCAACAGCCACTTCGTCATCTACCGTTCCCTGATGTTGAGGCACTCCAAACTGCAGCTAGACTCGCGGGTGATTTTGCTCCTGGCCCTGATGGACTTCCATGCCGTGCCTGGGTCAACTCCGACGGTAGCATCGGCGTGCTCCGCGATCTCCTCATCTCTATGGCGACTGGCGGTCCCATCCCGTACGACTTGAAATGCGCCATGATGGCCATGCTCCCCAAGGGCGACGAGCCGCTGGGCAATTACGAGTGCCCCCGCAGCCCCGACTTCCTGCGTCCCTCCGCCATGAAGAACAGCGGCATCAAGATCATCGCCTCTGGCGCCAACCGTGTCTTGCACTCGGTCTCCTTCGGTGCCGAGGAGGGGCAACAGGGCTCCGTCACTGGTCGCCAGTTCCTTACCAACATAATCAAGGTCGACACCATCGCGATCATGACCAGCATTGACGACGACGCCGGCAGGATGATACCCTGCTTCGCCAGCATGGACATTGCCGCGGCGTTTCCCAGTCTCGCGCGCGACTGGCTTTGGGAAGCGCTTCGCCGCAGGGGCATCCACGGCGTATTTCTCCAACTCCTGCAGTGCTGCTACCACATGCCGCTGGCGCTCCTTGAGCTTGGTGGCACCCGCCGTCCTCTCCTAGTGGCTGAGTCTGGGGTGGCCCAAGGATGTCCACTGAGCGGCGCGCTATGGGCCCTCATCTTCGACCTCATCATCAAGGGCATCAAGCTGGAGCTCACCGCAGTCGGACGCGGCCTCCTCAGTGCGTGCGCGGACGACCTTGGTATCGTCCTTGCCGCCCTTCGCGATCTTCGTGCTCTACTCCCACACCTCCTGGCAGCGCGCCTACATGCTGGGCTACGCTTTCAAACCAAGAAGTGCATTCTCGTTCCTAATTGGTCTTTGCCTACGCCCGAGATCATCGACACTATGCGCGGCATCCTTGCCGACATCTGCGCGCCTTGGAAAGACTTTACCATCCGCCGCGTGGCGCGGCGCCTTCGTGCCTACATTGGTCCAGGTGCATCTCTGTGCCTTTCGTGGCTCGGACCCGCCGCCAAATGGTGGGAAAGACTCCAGATCCTCGGTGACTCCTGCGCCCCCATCCAGCAGAGCATCAAATTATAGAAAGTGCGCCAGTGGATCTCCCTGAATAGATTAAAGGGGGGGTCGGAACCTCCTCCCCCCCCTCTCCCCCTTCAAAGGGGGGGGGGATCCGAACCCGCCCCGCCCTTCCTCCCCCCCTTGAGGGGGGGGGTGGGGGTCCGAACCTCCCCCCCCTTCCCCCCCTTCCTTGAAGGGGGGGGTCCGGCCTTTCCCCCTTTTCCCCCTTGGCGCTGGAGAGGGGGGGGGGGTCGCACCCCCCCCCCCCCCCCCCGCCCCTGTGCGCCGGAAAGGGCGCCGGGGAGGGGGGGCCTCTCGCTTCTCTTCTGCGCCAGAGAAGGTGTGTAGGGAGTGCGGAGTTGGGGGTAGGGAGTGGTGAGTAGTGAGTAGTGAGTTAGTGCGTAGTGAGTAGTGAGTATTGGGTAGTGAGTACTGGGTAGTGAGTGGCGGGTAGGGAGTAGGGAGTAGGGAGTGGGGAGTAGTGCGTAGTGAATAATGAGTAGTGTGTGCTGATAAGTGATTAGTGAGTGGCGAGTAGTGAGTTTTGAGTAGTGAGGTGCGAGTAGTGAGTACTGAGTAGGGAGTAGGGAGTAATGAGTAGTGGGTAGTGAGTAGTGGGTAGTGAGTAGTGGGTGGCGAGTAGTGATTAGTGAATGGTGAGTAGTGGGTAGAGTGCGTAGTGAGTAATGAATAGTGATTAGTGAGTAGTGAGTAGTGAGTAGTGAGTAGCGAGTAGTGAGTAGTGAGTAGTGAGTAGTGAGTAGTGTGTAGTGAGTAGTGGGTGGCGAGTAGTGACTAGTGAGTAGTGTGTGCGGGGTAGTGCGTAGTGCGTAGGCAGTAGTGAGTAGTGAGTAGTGAGTAGTGAGTAGTGATGAGTAGAGAGTAGTGGGTAGTGGCAGTGGGTAGTGAGTAGTGAGTAGCGAGTAGGGAGTAGCGAGTAGTGAGTAGTGAGGAGCGAGTAGGGCGTAGTGAGTAGTGAGTAGTAAGTAGAGAATAGTCATTAGTGAGTAGTGGGTAGTGATTAGTGAGTAAGGAGTAGGGAGTAGGGAGTAGGGAGTAGTGAGCAGTGAGTAGTAAGTAGGGGGTAGCGAATAGTGGTAGTGAGTAGCGATTAGTGAGTAGTGAGTAGTGGGTAGTGAGTAGTGACTAGTGACCAGTGACTAGTGAGTTGTGACTAGTGACTAGAGACTATGTAGTGACTGGCGAGTAAGGAGTAGTGAGTAGTGGGCAGTGAGTAGTGAGTAGCGGGGAGTGAGTTGTGAGAAGTGAGTAGCGAGTATGGGAGTAGCGAGTAGTGAGTACTGAATACTGTGTAATCCGTATTGTGTACAGAGGAGGGGGTAGCGAGTAGTGGTAGTGAGTAATGATTTGCGGGCAATGAGTAGTGAGTAGTGAGTAGTGAGTAGTGATTAGTGAGTAGTGAGTAGGGAGTAGTGAGTAGTGCTCAGTGAGTAGTGAGTATTGAGTAGTGGGTAGTGAGGAGTGAGTAGTGAGTAGTGAGTAAGGAGGAGGGAGTAGTGTGTAGGGAGTAGTGAGTAGCGAGTAGTGGGTGGTGGGTAGTGAGTAGTGGATAGTGAGTAGTGAGTCGTGAGTAGTGAGTAGGGGGTGGTGAGAAGTGAGTAGCGAACAGCGAGTAGTCAGTAGTGGGTAGTGAGTAGTGAGTAGTGAGGCCTCTTTGGGGGTGGGGTTAGTGGTTGGGGTTAGGATTAGGGGTTTGGGTCAGGGTGGGGGCTAGGGGTAGGGGCGGCTGGGGTCGGTCTCTGGAGTCCGGGGGGGGGGTGGCGAAAAGGGGGGGGGGGGGGGCCGGCCAAAAGGGGGAAGGGGGGGGGGGGGGGGGGGGGTCGGGACCCTCTTCCCCCCCCCCTTCTTCTGAATGGGGGGGGGGGGGGGGCGTCCCCGACGGGCGGATCGGGGAAAAGGGGGGGGAGGGGGGGGTCCCCGACGACGGATCGGGGAGGGGGCTGGGGGGCCGGCGACGGATCGGGGAAGGGGGGGGTATCCCCCCCCCCCCCTGGGGAGATCCAGCGGCGCGCCCTCCAAATTCTACAGCGCCGCCTCCGTGACGTGTCTACCGTGCGTGGGCCAGCTTCTCCCGCCTTCCCCCTCCTTCTTGGCCAGGGGGATCCGCGGCTTGCACAGGCTGATCCGAGCGGCTCCCTCGAGCTTCGCGAAGATGGACATCCTGTCGTTCTCCCAGTGGGCCTCCGCCACGATGCCGCAGGGCCTAGAGACATTTCTTGCTGCTACTATGTGGCGCGCCGCCGCCGCTGCCATCGCAGGCTGGCAGCCCCTACTACGTGACCATCGTGATCTCGCCGACGAACGTCCGCCGATATGCCGAGTGATAAGTGGCCATTGGTCTGCTGACTGTTGGGTTGACAAGATCTCGATTGCACGGCGCCTCGACGCCGTTGCCAGCCGCCAGCTGTTCTCGACTGGCAAAGGCTCGATCTCCAAGGCCATCGCCCGTTCGACTGGATCGATGTCATGCGCCGCCTTCGCGCTCAGTCGTGCTCGCCGGCTTGCCGCGCTAGCTGGACAACAAGCGGTTGCTGCTGCCAGTCGTGACAGGGTTGGTCCGAACCATGCCAGGCACCGTGGCAGGGCGCAAGAGTCTGACTCCACCGCGACACGGGCTGCTCCCAGCACCTCGCCACAACAGGCCTTCTGATGTGGGATCCAACGCCTGCTGTACCACGTCGTCTTCCACAAGACTGTCCTTCGACGCCTCCAAGCCCGGTTCCCTCTGCCCCCCGCTGGTCGCGGCCGTCCGACCGAAGGTGCTGAAGGTCAGGGGGCGAACCCAAGTGTACCAATCGGCACCTTCGTGACGGCGACTCCAGATGCACTGCAGCCGCCAGCTGGCGCCGCCTCCCACGACTCCATGAAGTGCCTGCACGAACGGGCTGAAGCTCGGGCCGAGCGCTGGGCCCCCAGCGTGTTCTTTGACAACGACATCGATGACCGCAAGGGCTGGATGGACTGGTGCGTCTCCTATGTGACCGCCGTGTTGCAGCGGCCGCAGTTTGATGCGCATTTCAGCCTCGATGGCGCCTTCGGCTCCGACGCGGCCCGCCGTGTGACAGGGCGGTTGTGATCTGCGCGATGGCGCGGCAGCGCTGTGATCGACCTCGTTCTCGACGCCTGGAGGTCTACAGTGCCGAGCGACAGACAGCCATCGTGCAGCGTGAACTTGCCGAGGGAGCTGCTGAATATCGAGCTCGCCGCCGCTGGATCGAGCACGAGACCCGCGGCAACCCGCGCCTGGCTCCTGCTGGCGACCACGCGACCTCGACGGCATCTACCACGACAAGCACGAGCTGGCGCGAGATGGACATCCTCGAGAACGGCGACGCTCCCTCACGTGATGGACTACTTGGGAGGACGGTCATTTTCACCTCCATCGCCACCGAGTGGCGCGGGCCGAAGAACCACATTGCGATTTCGCCCTCTTCGCTCTTCTGGCCCGCGGTCAAGACGCTGACGGGCGCCTGGACTACATTATACCGCATGCACGTGAACCCGCACAAGAAGCCGTTTTTGTCCGGGTGCGACCGGCGCGATGGCTCCATGAACGTGGACGACGTCAGCCACTGCGTGACCTGTCCGCACCTGTGGGCGATCGCCGCCATGCCGCGCGGCCAGCTCTCATCGGACTTCCTCTCGCGTATTGGCTTGGCGAGCCCCGCGACCGAGGGCGACCGTCCTCGCCGTGTCATCGCGCGTCTCGCGGCGGCCTACCGCGCGTGCAGCGTCCTGCGCACCAAGCACGAGGCCGACCATCTAACGGCTGCGAGTGAAGGTCAGGGAGCGATCCCACGTGTACCACTCGCTCGCAGCCGCGAGCCTGATGGCGCTGACGGTCAAGGAGCGATATCAAGTGTACCAATCAGCGCCATCGCCTCGCCCCGCCAGAACAACCCCTACGAGATCCACCAGGCCACCGCCGCCGCCGCCCGCCGTGCCTTGAGGCTGCCTCGTTGCCTCGGGGGCATTTGCGGGGCCGCAACGTCGCTGATTGACAGACGTGCGCTCCCCCCAGCGTGTCGTTTGCTCTTCCTGCTCGATTAGTAGCTCCTTGTCCGGTGCCATGTTTGTCACTTTTGCCTGCTGTGTTGTCTCCCCTTTCCTCTGCCATTTGTGCTCTGGGGCCGGGGGGATATCCTCCCGTGCCCGCCATAGACGCGCCTTCGAAATTCCGCCGTGGACCATCTCAACTTCTATTTTTTTATACTGAAGACAGCGCTTCCCATCTACACCCTCATGTCTAATTGGTCGCGGAAATTCGGCTCCGTGATCGACTGTCGCCATGCCATGCGTGGCTTTCTCTTCTGGCCATGCGTCGACCGCGCCAGCGTCCCACCTTCATCGCCTTATTCAACCACAACTCGCTTTCGGTCAGCATCATTCACCTTCAGCATCATCATGGGCCTTACTTTCGACTTCGGTCAGCCGCGTTCAACATCATCGCCTTCAACATCATCGCCTTCTTCCACTTCTTCCCCATCGCTCTGGCATTTTGGCAGGACCAATGCCTGGGAACGCGTGCAACCAGCACCTCATCAAGGACAACATCGCGAACATCTACAAAGACCAGTCTGCGACCCAGCCCGGGCATGCTCGGACTGTGTCCAGGCAGCTCGTGGACCCCGAACTGTCAGTGCCCCCGCCCGTGGGGGTAGCCTTAGGTGTGAGACAGTTGCTCGGCGCAGCGCTCACATTTGCGGTGTCAGATGCAAGTCCCGACCCTTGGGACTGCGTCTCTAGAGCCCTGGGAGAAGCAAGCAGGGAAGACGCATTCGGCGACTATGTCGCCGGTGCCGAGTGGGGGGGCAGTCGAGGGCGCAACGATCGGGGCGCCACCGCTCCGAGGCACCGCGCCTCCGGACCCGGCCCTTCGCTTTACCTACTCAGACCCGCCAGCCAGGCAGGACGGGATCCCGATGCGCACTCCCCTTGACGATCGTGTAATTGGTAGTGCTCAGTACTGTGACCGCTCGACGTACGAAGAGCATCCCCGTGACTGTGTCGCGGGATGCTCCGAGTATCGTGAGCGCCCCAGGGGCGCGACGGAAGCAGACGGCCAATGCGCTGACGAGGACGAGCACATCTGGGGCAAGTATCTTCGGCGTCTCGTTCAAGGCCGCTTGAGGATCTCCTGGCTCCAGCCTCTTCGACCAGTGGGGGAAGCTACAGTCCGGTTGGGAGGCCGTTGGAGTTGGCATGTGTGCCATCGCAAGCTGCATCGCTCGCGTGGGCGCAGGTGGCAGCAGCGGCAACATGCGCCACCCCAGTACCTGAGCTCGCGTGCCTTTCCAGAAATGGGTGCGTGAGGTGATGATCTCGTCAGTGGCGATCTCCGACCTCGACGAGTTTCGCCGGGCAGCCTGCGTCTCGTAGCGCCTTGCTGGCATGGCGCGCGAGTGCGTGGGCGAATGGCCGCCTGCTGTCTCGATCCAGGGGGGTTTCATCGTCGACGGCAACCCAGTGCCACCGATGACCCTCCTCATGCACAGCTTGGCCGAACGATGGGGCCAGCTGGGCGAGAAGGGGCGCGCCTCCGCAGCATTGGCTCTGATGAACTTCAACCAACTGCCACGACAGCGCATCGACGACCTCCTAGCGGGGTCGGCATCCTCCGCAACTGGGCGCAGCAAGCTGGGCAACTCATGGTCGGCTACGAGGGGCTGAGCTTCCTCCTGCTGCGTGCCGTTGGCGTGTCGAACACGCAATTTTCCATGCTCTTGCAGCGCTGCAACATGTCTCGCCCCGCGACCGCTCAGCAGCTCACCCGCGTGAATGGCCAGCTGAGGCGCTTTGGGCACACGATAGAGGGATCGCCGGGCAACCTTGCCTTGGGGGTCCACGCTGCCCAACTGCACGCGTTCCTTGCGGGTGCCCCCGCGCAAGAGCAGAGCTGGGGCGGCATGGGTCCTGCTGCGCTGGAATCGGCGCCGAACCCCTTTGCGCCAGCCGAGGCCGTGCCTGGAGGCTGGCCCTCTGGCGCGGCGCCACCGGCGCAGGGGGCATGCCCCGCAGCAGGGGTCGACTCAGGCACCGACGCCGACACCGCTAGCTCATTCGGCGAGGAGATAGCTCCAGACGGCCCCGATCTACGCGACAAGCCCATGGAACAACGTGGTGCGCACCTCGTCTGGGTTTACGAGCGCCCCAAAGCACGCTGGCGTAGCTTCAATAACCGCAAGTCGACGCGCCACGTTCGGAGGGTCATCGAACGGAAGGGCAAGGGCAAAGGCAAAAACAACCGCGCTTTCATCGCCACCCTGTCCGAGAAAGACCTATGGGAAACCTTCGTGGGCTTCGGGCTGGGCATGGGTGCAGGACAAAGAGTTTCAGGACCACAGGCAGACATAGGTGTGGCGGCCGTGGTGTCTTACCTCATTGTCCTCCACCTCCTGCTCTTCCTTCCTTCGTGCGCTCGTTCCTCCTCCACCCCTTCCCTGCAATCTTTTTTTGTGTCGCACCCGTAGACGTGTCTGTGCACTGGACGTGGAGGTTTGCTTGAGACGTCCTTGACAGTTACGACCCGATGCATGATTTATTCGAGTGGAGTGTGTCCTTTTCAACATGGGGTTCTTGCATCAGTGCCGCGCACATTACATCTTCCAACCGCTAGGTGCACGGATGGAAGCCGACGCGTTATGAAAACGGGGCTTTCGCCCAAGCTTCGTACACATTCGTTTTACATGTTCCAACGGTTGCACGGATCGAGGCTGGTATTTTTTTCCAAACGGGAGTCTTCCTTGACATTTCCTCAACAAGCACATCACCACAAAGGGAAAACTTGTGCAGCAGCCACACGACTGGCCGTCGGTTTGTTTTCTTCGAAATAAAGGACTCTCCCCTGAGAGGTCGGGTATATTTTTGCCAAGCGATTATAAGACTATGCGCTGGCTACACGGCGGTAGTGCGGTTTCTTGTTGTCAAAGCGGGGGCAATCGTTGGATTCTTCCTTGAATTTGCATTTCCCCACTTCGCCGCATTTCTCAAATCCCGGAGGATGGATAATGATGGAGAGCTGAAGCATAATCACGAAGAGACAACACTAAATCAAAGCAGACCATTTCTCGAAGGATGGAGTGTTTGCGATGGGCAGGCGTGAACCAATCGACCCTTTCTTTAGGTCGCGTTCTGGGCAGGTTTTGGGGCCCGCTGCTGGCCCACGCCAAAATTCCCCCCGCCACGCCCCATGCACGGCAGTTGCAGGTTTGATGGGTCCGTACTTTGCATTTTTGGTGAGTTTGGCAATGTCGAGGAGGAGGAGGGGAGGAGGAGGAGGAGGAGGAGGAGGAGGAGGAGGAGGAGGGAGGGAGGAGGAGGAGGAAGAGGAGGAGGAGGAGGAGGAGGAGGAGGAGGAGGACGAGGAGGAGGAGGAGGAGGAGGAGGAGGAGGAGGAGGAGGAGGGCGAGGGTTTTTTCCCCCGGGAAAAGCAGCGGCCGAGCGCCCCTGTCCGTGGAGGCTGGCCTCCTTCAGAGCGGAGGGTCTTCCGCCGAATTTGCGGGTCTGTGGGGCGCCCTCGTCTTTCGAGAGGGGGCGGCTCGCGCAGGGGGGAGCTATGCCTGTATGGGGCCGATGGGAAGGGGGCTGGGGCCGGGCGCGGGCACAGCGTAATTCACGATGGAGCGCGGACGCAGCGTAATCTACGAGGGATCGTGGCCCACGGAGAGCGGATGCAGCGTGACTTGCCAGGGATCGTGGCCCACGGAGAGTGGACGCAGCGATCGTTGCCCTGGGAGCGCGGACGCAGCGTAATTTGGGATGGATCGTGTCCCTGGGAGCGCGGACGCAGCGTAATTTACAATGGATCGTGGCCCCTGGGGGGTTGACATGGCACTGTTGATGCCTGTTGGGTGAACTCTGGTCCTCCTCGTCATCCTCCTCGTCATCCTTCTCCTCCACCTCCTCCTCCTGCTCCTCCTCCCCATCCTCCTCCTCTTTCTCCTCCTCCTCCTCCTCCTCCTCCTCCTCCTCCTTCTCCTCCTCCTCCTCCTCCTCTCCTCCTCCTCCTCCTCTCCTCCTCCTCCCCTCCTCCTCCTCCTCCTCCTCCTCCTCCTCCTCCTCCTCCCTCCTCCTCCTCCTCCTCCTCCTCCTCCTCCCTCCTCCTCCTCCTGCCTCCTCCTCCTCCTCCTCACCCCTCTCCTCCCTTCCTCCTCCTCCTCCTCCTACTCCCCTCCTCCTCCTTCCTCCTCCTCCTCCTCCTCCTCCTCCTCCCCCTCCTTCTCCTCCTCCTCCCTCCTCCTCCTCCTCCTCCTCCTCCTTCCCCCTCCTCCTCCTCCTCCTCCTCCTCTCCTCCTCCTCCTCCTCCTCACCTCCTCCTCCTCCTCCTCCTCCTC